TGTCACTTACATGGAGTTTATATTTAAAGACAACATTTGCTGGTTCTACGGGTATACTTTCTGCTAGTATATATAAACCAGAGTGTAGTAACCAGACCTGTACCTTTGCCATACGTTCAGTTACTTACACACCACAAATTGTTGTGTGTGGCTAACCTTTTTGTACCCCCCTACATTGAGAACTCTATGGAGCGCTATTTCAACATAATAGACATACTTTTGGTACGCGATTTCAACCACTTTTATGAGGCGCGATGATGCACGCACCATGGCACAATTTTGGGTGCGCGGTGGAGCGCGAGCGCGATCGCGCCCCTTAAAAATGAAAGCCTGTAGCTGTATGCCGGGTCAAAGGTTATCTCGCCGAGTGTTGCGTCGATGTCCAATCTCCCAGCGAGTCACACCGCATCGCCGAGCGTTAGTAGCTGCCTTTTGTTTCAAATGGCTCTCTGAACGCATCGATTTTGCTGCCAACAGAATGGAAAATCGTGTCGTACGTTTTAGTCTGTATCTCCGGATTGCGGGTGTATAAGAGGAAACGATTTCGCACGATGCTAGGCGGATGTACTGTGTACGATTTGAGCTCAAGTTGGTTGCGTTCTTTCTATTTCTAGCTCCTTCCCTATTATCTACTCCTGATCTAGATGCAGTATGTAATATCTATGTATCAGGGGTCGAAATTAGATTTTTATTATGGTATCCATTTGGGATACCATGTATTGAAATCTGGTATCCCCCCAAAGATCTGGTATCCCATTTTTTGGATAGTAATTTAAACAATGATGGTATCCAAAATCTTTAAATATGCAATAATAGCATTTGAAAATTATTAATATGTAATGTGATTATTATATAAAAACATGAAAACAGAGTCACAGATATGCACAGACAAGTACACTGGAGACGTATTGTCTAGACGCATTGTCTGGTTCGCTTGATACAATGTATACACATCACATTTATGATCAGATCGTGCGCACTCGCTCTACGTGCACTCGCTCAGATGCGCTGCCGTATAAAGTTTATAACTCAACAACCACTCCCGATTTTGATGATTTTTTTTACTATCCTGGCGCGATACCAATCATTGAAATCTGGTTTCCAACACAAGAATCTACTATCCCGCGGATATCGGGATACCGCTAATTTCGACCCCTGTTATTATATGCGTGTATAAGTCTACACTAATTGTATAATTTAATGTACAATGCATATATGTTGTATCTGATGGTGCTTAATCTGTTTATGTTTATATATCTGCCAATCAATCAAACAATTAGTATAGGGTTGTAGCTACAGATCTGTAATTACTCCGATATAAATCCATATAACCCTGTCTGAATATAATGCTGCAGGGATATGCAGTGATATTAAAGAGAGCCAGCCACTTGTAACTAATGCCTGCAACTAATAATACAACCTTATTGAATGTTTAATTATTCACTAACCATACAAATTGCAATGCTTGATGCAATCCAGAGAGACATGATACAAGATTGCGTGGCACAGCTTTGCTGTTGATCCTAAGCGCTGCGCGCGGATGAGACGCGCAGTTCCGCGGGATATGCGCATGCGACAGCGGGGATGTTCAATTATGAGCGCTGTCTGCAGTGGAGACGTGCGCCAAATTCGAGGCCCAGCGCACGTCTCCACAGCGGTCAGCGGATGGTCTGTAGTTTTAGAAGATGACAATGATTATATATATGGACGATATTCTAGGAATTGGAGATTATAAAACAGTAACAAAAATCGCTCAATCATGCTCCAGATTAGCTGAATCAAAAAGATTAGAATTTAATATGAACAAAACATGAACAAAAATTACAAAAATTACAAAAATTTTATTATTAAAATATGAACAAAACAAATACAATGGTTATAAAATTCACCAACAGAAAGGATAGAGAAGGAGATATTAATAGGCAACGAAGTTATCAAAAAATGCACCAAATTTTCATACCTAGGGGATTTAATTAATGATATAGGAGGTTATAACGATATGATAAGAGTACAAACTGAAAAATGTAGGTTCATGATGAGGGAAATATTATCATGGGCAGAAGAGCAAAATTATGGAAATCATACTATAGAAGCAAGAGTGAAATTATACGAATGCAGTTTTACCTTTTTTCCTAAATAACAGTGAAACATGGACTTAATGTAAGAAGCAAAAATGTTGGAGGATTTCGAAAATGAGTGCCTGCGCAAAATAATAATCACACAGAAAACGCAGAAAATGCATCGCATCGGCCCAAACTCCACGACAGATGGCGCTCTCGCTCATGGGCTCAATCTACGAGTATCCTGATTGTACGAAGGTGCACTGCATGCAGTTTGGTATCGGCCTAGACTGGTACCCGGTCGACAGTTCCACACGCTACACTAACAGCGTCAGTGTAGCGAAGGATACTTTCCGGAGTGAAGCAGTTCGCAGTTCCTCAGTGCGCTAAACGGCGTGTTATTTTCGTTTTTGTGCCAAATTCTATCGTAGGAAACCGTTCTAGCCTAGCAGAATGCCCTAGTTCCTAAGATCGGCGATTTGGTACTGTGATGGGTCCCCACCTATAAAAATTCCAAAGAAAGGTGCGGCGTAGGCTGTGACTGGAGGACACAGTGTCAATCCTCGGCTCGCCTCGGCATCATGGCCGCATCACGTCTGGCTCTAGATTCTAGAGAACTATGACCCTTCGCTCTGCCACAGGGCGCTGTGGCGGAGCGAGGGGCTATGGTTCTAGAGCAAGATGCAATCATGATGCCCTCTCTAATTATAGTATAAACTAGCTATTCATCCTTACTTTTTATGGGGTTCACTTTTCTGTTTTGAATAAAGTTTTAACCAGTGCCAGCAAACTATTCTTGTTTTGCACGGCATGCAGAAACAGCGATGGCCATAATTATGGGTTGTCATCACAGGTATTGATGCTGGATGCATGTACAGTGTACACCCCTAGAAAAGTGTATATATAGCAGGCTTTCATTTTTAAGGGGCGCGATCGCGTTCGCGCTCCACCGCGCACCCGAAATTGTGCCATGGTGCGCGCATCACCGCGCCTCATAAAAGTGGTTGAAATCGCGTACCAAAAGTATGTCTATTATGTTGAAATAGCGCTCCATAGAGTTCTCAATGTAGGGGGGTACAAAAAGGTTAGCAACACACAACAATTTGTGGTGTGTAAGTGACTGAACGTATGGCAGAGGTACAGGTCTGGTTACTACCCTCTGGTTTATATATATATATAAATACAACTAAACAACAGCATCAAAATACAGGTACCTATACGATAGCCACAAGTTACCTGCTCGTTTTCTACTATACGTGGCGAGAAGTGGTTTTCTGCCGACGTGAAACAGTCGTAAAGCTGGAGGGGCTACATACGTGGCTACTACGTACAAGTAATTTGGCTAGTTTGTTGATGGATTGTGATGATATTTTGTGCTGAAATATGCAGGCCGGTACATGGATTAGAATCTCTAAGGATGGAAATCAGAATAAATAAAACAAGTTTATTTTTACATCCGATCAACTCTTTTATTAATCTGTGTGCTAGTGTTGGGTTGTTGGATGAAAAGAATGTAATCCTGACGAAGCCATTGAATGAATGAAGGTGAAGATGAATGATAATCAGTAGATTGACATGACATCCCAATTTTCGTTTTGGATTTCACTCTAGACTGAGGATTGGTCATGATTCCATCATCACACCCCAAGAGGCATGATGGAGAGCCCTCAAGGAGCTCTCCATCATCCCTTTTAAGGGTGTGATTTTTAGTGGAGCTCTCCATCATGCCTCTTAAGGGTGTGATTTTTTAATGGAGCTCTCCATCATGCCTCTTAAGGGTGTGATTTTTTAGTGGAGCTCTCCATCATGCCTCTTAAGGGTGTGATTATGGAGCGTGAAAAGTCCCCCTATGGTGTCCTAGGGGAGTCATTAGTAGTCCTCCTGTACTTTTCAAATCTGAAAGCCTGATATAGGTAGGTATATATATACAATCAAGAGCGTATTAATTAAGAAGGCTCTTGATACAATGATTGCTTGCTATAGCGTGCTGCTTCATAGTCTGGCGCTCCATTCATTTCTCTATTGGGAAGGAAGTAATCTGGTTGCAGTCTATATATGTGTGTGATACTATTGACATTTTCTATGTGCAGCGCAGTGGGATAAGTGCTGCTGATCTAGAAAGACCTGTGAAACTGTAGATGCAGGAAGAGGCAGATTCATATGCAGTAAGTACAGTTCATTCAGTGTTTATATGGTCCAGTCAAATGAATAAATGCAGTCAAAAGTGTTATTATTGATGGATTATCATTAATGGGTATGCATTGACTATCACAGTAAGGAAAGTGAGTGTATAGCTGGTTAACCACTACATCAATCAGCTTACGTGTGTCTTTTGGCTATAATTTTTGTTCTTGTTAGACATGAATATTACGAAATTAAACATATATATCTTCCATTTAAATTCACTTTTTTCACTATTAAATCCCTTATCTAAAATTACCAGTGTTATAACTATAACTATGAAGAATGTAATCAGTTTGAGTGATATCATTGTACATAAGAAAGTAAGTAATTATATTTGTTAGTGCCTATGTTTATAATGAGCTTGATGTTCATACACATGCTAACCTTATGATTTATGTCTATACCACAAATATCAGAAATTCACAATGATCGTAAATGATACACTCGTCTGACATTTCAGGAGTCATAACCCGAATTCCATGCAGAGAATCTAAACAGGTTATCGAGAACTTTGGCTGCTGTAAGTAGCAACAGACGTGACAAGATTTGCTTACTTTCTGCTTCATCATCATCTCACAACAGACAGGTATGTCAGCAAAATTATATTTCTAATGTTTCATGATTATAGATTATGTTGACATGGTTCTAGGTTTGGTTTGTTATAGGAAATATTTTAGTTTTGTAGGTTTATAATAAAGCTTGAAGGCATTCTATGTGATGAAATGGTTTGAAGTTCTCCAATCAATACCTGTGCCTTGATTAAACTAGATTTCGTAATATTGAGTCTGTAAGGTCTCGATATCTACAGTATAAATGTTATTTTTTAAATTCCTATGTGGTTGCTATCCCTTTGTAAAAGGATCATGTTGGTGGTCGGCAGTAGTTGCCAAGTGGTTGCTATCAACATTAATAGCAAATATAAGCAGCAGGGATGCTTGCAATGGTCACAGCTTACTACAAATTACTATATATATATATAGTGTTTTTTAGCTCATCTGACATAGTCAGATGCAGCTTGTAGAATCGCATGAGCGTGCGTCCGTCCGTCCGTGCGTCCGTCAACAGTTGGGCACAAATCTTAACCGCTCGACGTACGGTCACGATATTCGGGACGTAGGGGGGTAATCCGAAAACGAGTTGGGATGTCGAAGCTGGGGGTCAAAGGTCAAAGGTCAAGATGTGTAAAAGAAGGGTGAACATTCACTCCTTAACTTAAGGTATAGGGAGGAAAGGCAGAATTGCGGCACAAATCTAAACGGCTCGACCTAGGCTCGTGATAGTCGGTGTATAGCATCATGGTAGGAAAAGCCATCACTGTGCCGAAATTGAAGGTCACAGGTCAAAGGTCAATGGGGCAGAGGGCAGATTTTAGACATTTTGTGAGGACATTGTTTGACGGAGCGATTGAAAAACTTTTTTGTTTCAGCGGTGACCTAGCATTTTTATGGCTTTATTGAAAGGACCGTGAAATATACCTTCTGCTGACATGCGAAGAGTAAGTGTCGGATAACCTTTTGACCCTCTAGAGGAGGGTTAAACATGGATTTGTTTACTGTCTGTTAGAAAGAATTTGACTGCCGGGTTTGCTAGTAGAATCTATACATGCCTGGATGTATGAGGCTACAATGTCACAGTGAAATTTCAAAAGCTAAATTTGGTTGAAGAAGGTTTATGCTCCTTAAATCGTATAATTTCTATGGCATTCTGTACTGTCAGTATGTTACATGTAACGTATGCCACTGCCAGTGGCCACTGCCAGTGCATGTGGTGGTGGTACTGTGTAGTTTTTGCCTGCGTTAATTGGTTACAGGTGGCAGCTCTCTATTGCAGCCTGTAGGCTTGCGTAGGTAAATGGATGAGTGCTTACCTATTCTGTCTTGCAAATAGTTGTTGCTACTACGTACGATGGGAGCTTCCATCTTTAATCTGAAGACACTTAAACGTACGCGCCATCTCGTGGCAACTTTCATAACGATCCCAACGAACATTCCTTTGAGAAGGTTCCTGATACCATCCCTGTGCATAATTCCACTGTTTCGGCGTGTATGTGAACACATTTGGGACTAACAGGGTTTACTAGAATCCCACCACTCCACCACAGAGTCACCGCAGTAGACGTTAGATGAGCGCTGTCGCTCCGCGGCACTTGTTTATACTGTATGGTGGCCGTATCATATATAATATATATATATATATGAGGCCTTGAACAGTGAGGCTTGCATGGGTGACCACACGCTTTATTAGATAGCAGTTCATGTGATTGTTATATATATATATATATATGAGGCCTTGAACAGTGAGGCTTGCATGGGTGACCACACGCTTTATTAGATAGCAGTTCATGTGATTGTGTTTGCATTTACCTAGTTATGCAATCTCAGGAGCTGAATGTGGTTGGGATATAAAGGGCAAAACAAACATACTCTAATTTTCATGCTCAATATGATGCTTCCTGCTGAAAAATAAATAACTAGTTATACATATGAAACGAACTGCTTTTGGTGCAATTGAATATTGTATGCATCCTTGTACCACACCTTTGATGCAAAAAAAATCGAACTAGGAAGAGTGATTGCTCACAGCACTACACCCCATGCTGTCAATGACAGTTGGAGTCAGCTTTTTGTTTTCAACTAACCTGCCTTGGTAATTAGTAAAGCCTGGTAATTACGGGCAATTAAAAACAGCCAAAGCAATTGAGCGCAGCCTCAGTATTGATTGGCATGTGTAATGAGTGAGTCTGGTGTATCTACCGAAATGTAATTTCAGACTATTTCTTTTTTAACTACATGCCTTCGGGTTTGAGAAATGTCTGGACACGGAGCGGATGTAAACAATTAGCCCAATATTGCGCTGCAGATATATCTATCTCCGGAAAAGTTCGACTATGATTTCTTGCAACCAACTTTCTATGCGTGTATCAATCGTTCGTGTCGTACATCTGTAATTTCGTTCATCGATCACACGGTGCGTGTGTACGTGCTGGCAACACGTGGTGTGACCGTTTACGTAGTGCTGATGTACTTTTGCTAATCATATGTTCATTACGTATCCATCTGCACGTAATGTTTTTCATGTATTTATGATTTCATTTGTAACTTTTCACAGTTACCGCAAATTCCTTCGTCTAAAGTAAGCGAGCGTAATGTTTGATGAGAGGTAGAGATAGCAACGATACTGGATTTTGCCAGTAGATAAGCAGCAGCAGGCCGCAACTTTCCTTGCCTTGCCTTTTGCCAATCTCCGTTGCCTTGCCTTGCCTTGCTTTTGTTCTTAGGCACAAGCGTGCCTACACAAGGTCTCCTTGTAAAACGTCGCACACTTCCATTTCAGACGAAGTGCACCTAAGGTAACCATTGCGTGCAGTGTTACTTGCTCTATACTACTGTGTGTGCTACCTGATATAAAAATCTGCAATTAACGGGTGCCGGACAAAAATTTATATAGTTTCCACCAGATCCCGTGGTTTTCAGAAGCCGTTGTGTAGAAGGTTGAGGTTGAGGTTGAGGGTGTTGACGAGTGCATCTATCTGCGGTTGTGTGTATTATACTTTATGCAGGCACTACATTGTGATGAAACAATTGTAATGTTCATCATATGCCCACGACCACATCGTCTCCATCTCGAGTAGCAAATCTGAAAGGTTTCTATGAGCCGTAGAAGATACTAGTATATATAGCATTCATTGCTGCAACGATCTGCAGTCGTACCGTACCGCCTTGAATGACTTCCTATTGCATTCATACATCACACAGTTATTGCGCTTGATTGCAAGGGCCACATTGAGATTTGTAAACCACCGTTCTCGTGCAAAATTTATATGAGATAGACTCAAATCTACGATATTTTAACAAACTATGGCCCCACCAAAGAATCAACAAAGGACGGTAACATATGTTGCATATAATCGCAGAGGTTTAGCAGGAAGTCACTTGGTTCAACTTGAAAAGTGCAGCTTTTTTTTTCACGACATTCTGGTTCGTTGTACTGTCTTTACTGTATTATCTGATATCCTCTCCTCGGCCACGGGTTCATACTGTGTTTTAACCGTTTTGCCATACATCGTAGTGGCCATAAGTGGCTTGAAACAGGATTTATGTGCCAGGTGGCAACACGGCTCGATGAGCAATGTTGAATTGTTATTACGCCTGGATAAATGTGAAATTAAATTGAAAATCAATATTGTCCTCTGAAAGTCAAGGTTACATATCATCAGAAGTAGATCCCTATTATCTACTTCTGATATCATGCTAACACAATTTATTGTCAGGCAAGATGTTACCACATATAACAAGTGTGTGTGTGTGTGTGTGCGTGCGTGCGTGCGTGCGTGCGTGCGTGCGTGCGTGCGTGTGTGTGTGTGTGTGTGTTTGTGTGCGCGCGTGCGTGCGTGCGTGCGTGCGTGCGTGTGTGCATTCGTGTGAGTGTGCATGCAAGTGAGCTTGTCTGCGTGTGTGTACGCCCAGTCGTCAGTTATAAAAAATTACCAAATTAAATCACTACAAATGCCATGAAAAGTATCAGTTGACCAAGAGACTCACTGTTGAGTGCTAGTAATGTGTTCATGAGAGTGCTTTAGTCTTTACAATATAGTGAGGGATGTATTTAACCATCCTTCCTTGTTTAACAAGTTGGACTTTTTCCTGATTGCCATTTCTGCCCGCGTGCCTGTGGCAGAGCGACTGAGCGAAGATCTATAGTTCTAGAGCAGTGGTTCTTAACCTTTTTTGAGTCATGGACCCTTTTGAGAATCTGCTGGAAGCGACGGACCCCTTCCCAGAAAAATGCACGTAAGGACATAAACAATAATTTTTATGCACCTGGTTGACGGACCCCCTGAAGTCCATCCACGGACCCCAACGGGTCCATGGACCACAGGTTAAGAACACCTGTTCTAGAGCTACCCGCGTGTGTGCTAGGGAGACCAAGTGACGAGGTTTGCAAGTAGAGGTGGTTACAAAAAAATTAACCGTGCGCAAATGCATGCACCTAAATTGCGAACTGTAACTGACCAGTGTGGTATGCGTTGCTGCACTGTTGAGTTTGATCCCTGTAACTGATGTATCATTTAATCAAAGGTGGTGAATGCAAGTTCGTCTGCATTGTGTAGCAGCAAGCGTACGTGCAGTCAATACAGACTGGTCAAAGTCTAAACGGTCGGTATACGGACCAGTCTAAATAGTGCTAGAAATTATTCGATTATCGATAGATAAAGTTTCACAGGAGGGTGAAACTTTTATGGGCTAGAATATGACTAAAGTCATGATTGCCAAACCTGGGTAAGCTGTTTAATGTTCTGGTAGAGCGGCTTTGGATCTTTGAAGGCTGTTTCTCCATATATTCGACAGAATTCACGTTCAAACTCTTTTCAAGCAATTTTCCACGCAGGTGTTCAAACGTAACTTTTGGTGGACCACCATTTGTCTTTCTCGGATAAACGTGCAGTTACTGACCAACGCGATTTGATCGCGGTACCATATATTCACTGCACACGTTATATTTTTCGCAGATCTACATATCAGTAGTTGTAATCACCAGGCCCATGTGCATATATTTAAAAAAAATTGAAAAGGTATGCAAATTATT